ACTATGGGCTACCCTTTGACCCATGGAAAGCAAGGTTCGCTTGGCGAAAAATAATGGTCCCCTTTTTTGACAGAAAGTTCTTCTAACTTTCTTTTCTTTTGGTAGAAAGTTCTTCTAACTTTCTTCTCTTTTAGTAGAAAGTTCTTCTAACTTTCTTTTTTGCCCCTTTGCTTTTTGAATTCGTCATAGATTATTTGAGTGCAATCTTAGAATGAGAGGTACCGTGCGGCGTTTAGAATAAGTTAAGCGTGCGTGTGTGGGATCCCTTGCGATTAGTATTAAGTTAATGTACGTGTGTGTGTGTGTGATACAAGTTCTTTACTGGATTGTGGTAAAGAACTTGTATATGCGAGCCTATGAGCTAAGTAGAGTCAGAACTCATTTATCCTTCTGATAAATGAGGTTGCATTTGGAGGGAGGAAGGGATTTGGAGTTAGGGTGGGTCGCTATCGTAGCCACCTCCACGTGGTGTGACCTGGTAATTGGTATAGTTCTCTGAAGGCTTTAAAAAATCTTCAGAGAACTATACCGAGCTAAGAGCTACGATTGTAATTTTGCTTACAATATACATATGTATATATAGTTGTATAGATTTATACAGTCATATATATAACTAACCTAACCCAGCCTAATGTAATCTAACCCAACCTATACATTCATAGTTTACAGTGCAATTATAAGAATTTTCGAAAAATTATGTAGGATCATTAAAGTGCCCTCATCAGTCACCACTGCGTGTACCGGCTAGGTACGGCATTGGCAGCAGGCTGTGACATCAGCTGACGCATGTGCATAAAGCTCTCGCGTGAGATAAAATCTCAAGACTGCCCAACACTATTTGAAACACACGCTTCGTTAGTTCCTACCTTTGCCGTTAGATAGCGCCGCTGGGGCCTTATTTTGTTCTATTTCAATTAATTTGTAATTTTCATATGCAAAATTTGCAATATTAAATAGTTTTAGAATGTTTTAATATGTTAGCAAGCTAACAAAACCAGTAATTTATAAATTTATAGATGTTTTATTTGTCTAATGTTATCACATTGTATTCCTGCTTTTTGACCCTATATCGTTAGTGTTGATGAACTGCGCTGTTCACCGCATTCATACAGACTCGTGGAAATATAAATATTTTCCTATAATTGTAAAGTTGTTCGCAAAAATATCTAAATATGTTCGGCAGATTAATTTCTAGTGCATATCAAGCACTTCCGTACGTACTTACTCTTTGTTCTAAAACAGACGAAGTATGCATCATTTTTGGAGGTTAAACATTCGCATTTATTTTCCAGTCGCCTCATACCATTTGGACAAACATCAACATCGATCATCAATTCACCAATAACAAATCAGTGGAATCTTTCGTTAATTAGAACAAAAATGAGATATCATTTCCCACGTCCTAATGAACGGCGTCGTATTAAACGTCACGGCTGGTTTGCAAGAATGTCCACTCCAGGTGGTAGAAGAGTTCTTATGAGAAGAATATTGAAAGGGAAATATGTGCTCAGTCATTAATCATATTGTATATTAATTTGTTAATAAATAGTTGTTTTACTTAAAAGTACGTGAATTATCATTTATCCTATTAAATTTATTATGATAACATAAATTAAATTTGATTTGGTTATGCATCAAATTTGTTAATGCAAAGTAAAAGTAAAATATATACATAATACATTTAAATTTAATATTGCAAATCAAGTTGTTTACATGTCCAATGAAATGATGGCGGTAAAGGTGCTTCAATTGTTACATCCTTGCCATAAAAGTTTGGTAGAACCACTTTTTTCAAATGAATATGAGCTGGAATTATTATCTGTCGTTCTTCACTTACAGCCAACAATTGTAAAAGTCTTTTATTCAATTTTGGTGGTGCATTAGCAGTCTCTAGAAAGGGATCAACTTTTACATGAGTATTGCCTACTTTCTTAACTCGTGATCCACAAACGTTATCTCCAAGAATTGGGGAATACAAATATGTTGACGCATAAAGTCTAATTGCATGCCATCTTTTAGTACTTGAAGTTATTTCAACCAATGAACACAAATCAAGGATAGAATTGGATAATATCTTAAATTCTGTATTTAATAATTTTATCCTGTTTAGTTTCTCATCATTTTTGGACCATGAAGTAACAATAACTGCCTGTAAATTATGTGTAAGTAATTAAATATTTTCGTGTACAAGTAATGAGAAATAAAATTACCTTGGAACCATCATGGTTGGGTCTTTGCATTGATTTCATTGCCACACGATGTTTACCTTCTAATTGTTTAGGTTTACCACATGTGACTACCCAGTATTTATATGAAAGATATTTATTTTGAATAACAGACACTTCCACAGCACGTTGTATTTTTTCATTTGTTGCTAAAAGTGTAACACCACTCATATACCTAATTCAAAGATGAGATAAAATATAGCTCATAAAATAGAGCTATTTATATCAATTTTTAATATATTATTATATTTACATTTCAGGACATTTAATTATAGCTAAGTTTGGATATCCCAGATGTTTGGAAATGTATGGTACTGCTTCTGTCAATGTATAGTTTACAGCATTTGGTACACCATACGCGGATACCTTTACACCGTCACGTTTTATTCCGTATGGTTTGTTCAATGCTACTAATCCATCTACGATACAGATTTAAATCTAAAAAATCTATGAATTCTAGATAAAGCGATACACCTTTACCTTCATTAAAAATTATATTAGCAAGAAGATCTTCTGAAAACTCTGTCATCGATTTCCAAGGATGAATTTGTTTATAAGGATGTAATGCCTTTTTTGATATTGGCTGTAGCTCTGCAAAATTTCTTTTCAGCAATTTTATACATGGTGCACATATAGTTGTGTGCTTGAATATAGCAGATTTTATTATTAAGTAAACCATTCTTTTTATACAATTCTAAAATATATTTATGATTTAAAAGTACTTTTTTCAAAAGCATTTACAAAAACATAAACAACAGCATAGGTTATATATGCTACTCAAAACAAGGTATAACCTAGGGAATTATATCTACTCTTTGTTACTACACATGTTTGCTCACTTCATTATCAATCGATACGAACGTACATAAAAATGTACAAAAAATAAATATACAATTATCATTTCATGTTTTACTGTATATACGAATTTACATTTTTCTGTTTCTTGTTTTAAAGAAACAAAGCATACAAAATAAACATAAATTATGCGTAGGTGTTACATTGTATTGAAAAGTAACTAGTTGAACATTCGATTTTACATCAAAAGTTTTCGATCTACACAATATAAGTTCATGAGTGTTCGTAACTAGAGACTCATGAATTGGCGCGCAGCGTCTTATTCTGCGTGTTTTCGATATTGTATCGTGCAAATGGTGGCTTCGACGATGTTTTGTTCAATGTTTCTTAAACATTAATCGGTCATACCATCAGTTGCGCATAATAAGTAGGAAGATAGCGTTTGTCGCTTGATTCTGTACTTGTAGAAACTTACTGCCGACATGGTAAAGCTTCAGAAGAAATTTTTTGCGGGTGACAAAGTCTTTGCGAAAGTTCGAGGTTATCCACCGTGGCCAGCTAAAGTAAGAACAGTTGTAGAATTGACAAACATTTTTATAATTTTCGCAAGATTTGCAGTAATGAGTATTTACATCAGTTATAATAATTTTTAATTTTAAAATTATTCATTCGTGTTTTGTCCCTATGTTTGAAATCAATATAATAATACCATTAATGTGTTCGAAATTATGTTTACATAAAGATTACGTACGGTAATAAGGTTATTTAAATTCAACAGATTACCATAAATTATTAAATTCATCATGTGTTTTAAATGATGAATGAATTGTTAAATATGACATAATTTCATTTATACGAAATAATGACTACATTACCATGTGACTTTCTTAAAATAAGAAAATAATACAATGAAATGTATTTCATTAATATTATTTCAGGTTGAAAAAGTGATTGAGCCAAATTCAAAGAATACAAAATACAGTGTTTACTTCTATGGTACGGGGGAAACGTAAGTAATATTAATCTGAGAAATGTAATTAAATAAGAGAGCAATTTTAAATATGTCTAATATAATTACATTTAAACATTGTGTTATAGTGCTGTATGTAAAGTGGAAGAACTGTATACATATACAGAGAATAAAGCAAAATTTGGCAAGCCCATTAGAAGAAAGTTTTTTCATGAAGGCTTAATACAGTTAGAACAAGAGCTTAAAAATGACAGAAACAAATCAGCAAATCTGAGTGATCTGAAAGGTAAATATAATACATATTTAGATTCTGTTAAATATAAACATTTAAACACAATAATTTTTAATATTTATTATATCAATGCAGAAGCTGGTATCGGTGATGGAACCAGAGCTGGTGATACTGGACTAAATTTACCTACGGTTAGCGCAGCCGACAGTGATTTAGAATCAGGATCTCTGGTTATTGATGAGGAGGAGAAAAAGAAATCTATGAAAAGGAAAACTCTTTCTGCCACTAATAACCCTGTAATATATTTGTATTTTGATATATATGTACATGTATATATATATATAAGATATATGCATGTTTTTTTATTTACATGCATCAGATTTTGTTAGGAGTTTTTGCTCGTCACTGCAATAATGTTTGAGGAAACAATTATTGAATCGAGCACTCCGATAGTAATTTAGGAATTGCCGACAAACATTCGTGAAGGCTAAATAGTTTGTGCGATTATTCCTTACAATTGCATAGGTATTTTATTGTAAGAATATGATTCGTTGAATTTGCATAGAAATAAAAGATTCTGAATAATTAGGATACACCCGAGGTAAAGAAACGGCGTGGGAAAGCAAAATCTTTACCCACATCTTCGAGCGACACGAAACACGATACCGGTGCAGAATCTCAAGGAGAGGAATCGCCAAAAGAAGTTGTGAGTCGTAGTGGACGAAAAATTAAACCAAAGCGGTTTGCTGATTTCTCAAGTTCAGAGGAAACGGATAATACGACAGAAAAAAATGGTATATACAAATAATACAACTAGATTACACTATTTGATAAAACTTTAGTTCTTGTGCATTTCAATCATATTGTAGAACATGGAAGAGGTCGTCCTAAAATCAAGATCGAAGATGCCAGCGACCAAGCAACACCTAGCGCGATGCACAAAAAGAGAGCTGCTATGGAAAGTAAGTGTTGCGAAGTAATTTATGTATAGCTAGACCGCTTAGCCTTTAACATTCTAGGTGTTTACAACTTTCCACTGCCAAAGTCCGTAACTAAGCGATCAAGCTATAAGTAAAATTATGTTATTAGGATTTAAGTAAAATTTACTTCACAGAAAAAAATAATTTAGGTGAAGCACCGATATTGGAAGGCACTGTAGTGTCTAGTACTTCATCCTCAGATACGGGGGGACGATTTTTACTAGCATTAACATTCGCTGGTGAATATGTTGGAATTAAGTTGGATATAGATAAGCCAAAGTCTTTTGAAAGTGAAAAAGCTCGAGCACAATGGGAATGGTCTACGGCTAGAAATGCTATGAAATTGAAGGGGCAATTGGAAAGCGGCGAAATTTTGCCAGAGCAAGTGAAAGATTGTTTAGATTTCAATATACATGTTCCAGACGATGAAAAGCGGTTGTTAGCAAAGGACGGCGCTCTTCATCGCAAGACAAATAAATTAAGGTAACGAGAAGGAATTAATTTTTTAAAATTATAATTTTTTAATTATGAATATTAATTTCAGATGGCTTCGTATAGAAGCACAACTTTTACAACTGGATGCACAAATTAAATCTAACCTTGGATTGGATCGAGCAAATCCGGATAAGTGTTTGCAAGCAATGGACGATATGTTGTTGCTACCAATCGATCCGTTGATGTTGAAAAAGCATCCGCATATCGTGGAAACGGTCAAAAGGGTAAAGAAATGTGGCCTAAGTTACTATTGCTTATTCGTTACTTATTGTTCGTAGCATAATGTACTTGTAATCTTAATATTTTCAGTTGCGGCGGTACATCGGTAATTTAGCTGACTGGAAATTAAGCGAAGAAGAGGAGGTATTATTTTTTATTATCCGAAATATACAGATGTATGATCCATAACTATGTTTCTGAACTTGTTCTTTTAAATTAATGTTGCAGGCTATTTTCAAACAAAAGGCAGAACAAATTAGGCAAAAGGCTGAACATATATACAACAAATTTAAGGTAATTAAATTAAATTTTTATTTAATTAAGTGAAATTCAGTTGTATATAGCTGTGTCTTTTGAATATATAATTATATTTTTTCTTTCACTAAACAACGTACAGGCTATGTTTACCATACCGGAAGGTCAGTCGTTTTGGCAATCATTTTCGGACCAAGTGGTCCATTTCAAAGAGTTAACAAAGGATATGCCCGAAGAAAAAGTATTTTCTCTAATATCTGATCCTGCTTGTCCAGGTAAATATGTCAATTAATAAATAGTACGTAACATACTGCTTGCCATTTTAATACGAGAAAAAAATGTGCGTTTTCGTGAACGAAGAAAATAAACTTACAGATACAGCCATATCAGAGGATTCACCCGTGGAAGAAAGCGGCAATCAACCGGATACAGATGCGCCAGTCGAATCTAAATTAGAAGTGCCTACAAGGAGTGTAACTCCAAAAGAGTCAGAGGCCAAGTAACATAGTGATCTTTTGTATCTGATATTGTGAAAAATTATTATTTTCTTTCGTACCAATGTGGTACGTTACACGATACGAGTGTCTTAAAGTTGAAGAAAACGGAAAAGAAAGCAAAAAACTAATTCGTTTTTTCACACTTGGATAAATTCTGATGTTACGTTTTATTCGATGGGACTTCTGATACATTTTCCTTGCAATATTTGTAACTAAGAAGCTCGTGAGACAAACGATAAGTCTTTACTCTGTTGTCAAGCATGTTAAGAAAGATGATCAGTTAATTATAGCGCACCTAGAATTTAAATTAGATACCATAATTCTTTCCTTTATTCAGTATCGCGTTTCTTTTACGGTCGCAATTCCTTCCTCGTCGTGAGGCACCACCGAAGCAGAAAGATAAGTACGAACACCATATAGATGTCTTCGTTGTTTTAACGCAAAATTTGCCTATTTCATTAATCACAGATACCAATGTATATATTTATAAATATAAGAGAAAAAAAAAGGAAAACTGCAATACTCTATATACAAAGATCAAAGGTGCGATGTGGGGTAGACGCGATAAACGGCAAGCTCTATTATTTTAGAACAGCGATATCCAAACAATGTTATTGGAATTAATAAGCCGTTATTTTGATCGTAAGTGTTTTCATCGCACTTTGAAGGCATAATTAGAATGAATTGATTCGAAAAGAAACATTTGAAAAAATTAGGCCTTTTATTGTTTATATTTGCGTAAAAAGATTAAATTTTTATCGCGTTCGCGTAAGATATCGCTATCACAACATTGTACAAATTAGAAAAGTAATGATTTTTAATTGAATTTCGGCTAAAGAATATTATTAAAGACTTATCGATAGGTTTTTATGTCATTCAAAGAGAGTATTGTGAGGACAAAAACGTGTCCTGCATAGATCTCTTAAAAGAACACAAATCACAGCGTAATTTATAAATTACACTTTTATATGGGCAACAAAAGTTTAAACAAGCCGCATATTTATTTAGATTCCGTATCTCCTCATGGTGTAAGGCACAATAATCATCTATTTCTGTTAACCGATGCTTTTTAAGGCGGTCTATGCTTAAGTTAAGCACGACATATACGACATAAACGATATAAATGTACTTTTGTAAACACTTGTCGCAGAAATAACACTGTAAAAGGTGATGTTGTTAATAAAAACAAATTGCTCTATACTTTGATGTCCAATGATGGGGAACCTCATTAGGGATCTCCGTTTTGTTTTATTTTAATTCAACGCAAAATAATGCCTTTGAAGTGCATTGAAAACAGAAAACGTTAAACACGATTATTTTTCATTTTACGTTTCATTTCGTTCGATATGTTTATAGCTGATTAATTTCTTTTTAAATAGTACTACGATAAGATTTCGAAAAAAAAGTATACGGTTAAATAAAGTTTCATGTTAATTGTAAGATTGTTTTTAAGTGTCAAAAAGTATAAATATTTTTAATAAAAAATTGCTACAGATTTTACGGTATCCTTTAAACTTTATTTCAATATTTTATTGTCAATACGCGGTTTTCATTCGATTAGCATAGAACATTTATGCGATGTTGCGTGCAAAGTTAGCAGCCCGTACTTATAATGCGATTTAATATTTAATGTTGATTACCTTGTGTGATAGTAAAAAAGTAGATGAATTGAAATGGTTACATTCACTTTTTATGCCATTAACAGTCAGTATTTTCTTGGATACGATTCAAAAGAGAATGGCAATTTTTAATAACAAATAAGGAAATATGACATATTTTTGTTGAATTGTACCTATTCGAAGTATGTGTCGTGCAACTTTCATCTCTTTATTCTTCTTCAAATTGATTGGTCTCGCGACATTTTCTATAATTACCGTCAAAAAAACAAAACAGTACAAAAAAAAGACCATATTCTTCATTTATAACAAACTGGGAATATGTTACAATATAATACTCAGTTGTTTGGTTATTGGATCGACTTACATCACACTGCCAATTATATATAACGCAGAGTATTTTAACAAAACAACCATAACGACAAGTATCGAAATTCTTCACGGAGTATTAGGCAACATAGTAATCGGCGTGACCTTATTCTGCTATTGTTGCAATCAATTAGCGTTCGTGAAATTTGGAAACCATTTGATTAATATCCTGGAGGAACTAAGACGTCTACGAGAACCGGTGAATCGAAAACGAATCGTGTCTGTTTTAACATTAATTTATTTCTTCGAATTGATATTGCTCCTTGTTCTTACAATCAGTGATTATTTAACTTTTAATTCGAAATTTGGCTATTGGTTAGTGAATATTTTACCGTCATCTTTTGTAAATTGGCTTTTCATTCAATATTATGCAGTATTGCTCGTGATGCATGCAATTTTTGTGAACATGAACAAAATCATAGAAAATACTTTCTTGAGTAGAACCGACGATGTTCAGGTAAATTATTTGCATCGATCTTGTCGCGTATTCATCGACAGCGTCAAAATTCAATCTCTTATGCAACTTCGAAATATTCACGGGCATCTCTGCAACATTTCCGTCCAAGTTTCGCATTTTTATTCTCTTCCAATTCTGTTGGGAACTAGTTTAAAATTCGTAGTATCACTGTATAATTCGTATTATCTATTCGAACCATTCCTGGCGAAGAATATGACCGTAGAACCTGGGATTATAATAAATACTCTGCTTTGGTTAATCTATCTCCTGTATCCAATCGGTTTGTTGACCACCAAAGTGACCACGGTCATTAACGAGGTAAGGAGAATTAAAGAATTACGCAGCACCGATAGTAGTAGACACAGATGTTAGTGCTACGTTTTTAAAAATGTTGAGATTCTGGTGTAGACGTCAAGAGAGTAATTTGTTACAGGTCGAACAAACGGGAAGTATCGTTCACGCGTTATTGAATCATACGTTCGATAAAGAAGTGAAATCTGAGGTAAAATACGTCGGTTAGTTATCATTATGTAAATTGCTAATTCAATGAAAATTTTGTTCTAGCTCAAACAGTTTTCGCTTCAGTTACTGCATCAAAAGGTCAAGTTTACGGCTAATGGATATTTTGTTCTTGATAACACTCTTTTTAAATCGGTGAGCTAATCGATCGTTATTGCTCTTGTTATTTTACGAACTTTGTCTTGTTTCTTTATTAGATACTCAGTACAGTGACGACGTATCTGGTAATTTTAATTCAATTTCAAATGGGACCGGTGGAATCATCCTGTAACATCGGTAATTGCACGTGCAATGATACCGACAGAAAAGATTAATCCTTTCGGTATTCCTGTAAGGAAGATCGAGGTGCAGATTATCTATATTTTATTACAAATGAGGGTTAATTTGCTTTTCATAACTAAACGGTTAATTGACCTGTAAATATTTTTGAAAAATAAATGAAAATCCTCTTACATTCGAAGTAATTATTTTGTGGCTGATGAAATGCACGCGCTAGAGGTAAATATAGGAACAAAGCATACCAGTACGACACTCAGTATCGTATCCTCCTTTTTTTTTTTCTGTCTGTTTAATTAGAATTTATCGACAATTCCGTTAAAGAGGAATAATAATACATCAATTGCATGCATGGCAGCGAATTATATGATCGTGGCTGATTAACATATTTTGTTGCTCGCAACGAGTCTCTTCGTTTCTTCGTACGTACACGCGTACTGTTTGTGATCACGAATTTTAAAGCGTCTAAAATACGAGTATCTTCTATTATACTATCAAGTATTACGTGGTCACTTGTTCTTTTACGTCGATTGTTGAACGGCGGAACGGGCCTTTGCTAACCCAACCTATGTTTCAAAGTTTAAATTAAATTTCAGATTCTTCTTTATTATTTCTTCAACATAGAAAAGTTTTCCGCGAAAAGAACGTGGATCTAGGTTGCAATTTGCCCGGCTTCCGCTATTCAAGGGTTAACATCCTACATTCGTACATTTTCACTAACAGCTTTGTCTTTCACGAATATTCGACAGTATTTCAGATTGAAATACTGATTGAACGCGGAGCTAAGACAGCTAAAATTATGGATTCCAGTACGATCGAAATATATTCAGATCAAAAATATATGTACATTCTAGCGAAATACTGTCCGATATTCGTTCGCTGGTTTATTAAACCTCCGAGGACTATACATCCTCCATATTGGCATTACACGAAGACTTGTTTACTCGTATATCGGTGAACTTAACTTCGAACAATTGTTTCAACAGCTAATAACACCATAATGCGTCGTCTGAAAAATATCGTATCAAATATTCTCTGCTAATCCCCTCTCACCGATCCGGTTTCATTAGTCTGTCTTGCAGTAAATCGGCGGAGAAGAAAGATAACAATTAGTTCGTGTAACGATCCTCCATTATTCGGAACGTTGCATTCTCTATTTGAAAGACTTATAATATCATAAAAATTTGATCGTTCGTGTTCGACGAACGAAAAAGGACATCCTTCAAGGGACTGTGTTTTATACTGCGTTCGATTCTTTTTTCTTCATTAAAAAAAGAACGCGAAAAAATCTTCTCTACTCGACAAGTTCACATTTTTCCATCTAAATTCCATTTCGAATAGGAAACTTTCATCACTGTTCTCGCGTAAAAAACATGCTCTATATACTTTATCGTATAATATAATAAATATTGTCGCTGCTGGCCGGTATTTGACGTATCAAAAGCTTTTTTGCAACCCTTTTCAGTCGGTTGGCAAAATATGCTTGCCAAAGTATTTTTATTTCAAATTTAATATTTTGTCAGTATTACCGTTGATGTATTATACGTTAGAAATATAAAAAGATCTATTATAACGTTTGCTTGATTTTAGAGCGAATTCGACCGAAAAAGGTTAGGCAAACACGCACAATGATAATTTTGATAGAAAGCAATCGAGCTGGCAAAGAAATTTCTATCTATTACGAATATTAGTGAAAAATTAATCGATAACGACTCTCTCGATGCATTTTCTCGTGCAAAGTTCCTCGACAAAAAATCCCTCGAAGGATACATCGAAAGTATCAAAGGGGTTTCATTGGCGTATCTATTACGGTCACAGACTCTATATTAGCTAAATTAATAAATACACGTTAATATTGCACACTGACAATGGTAGACTTAAGGACCCAGCGATAATCGTTTCACCGATCGAACCTTAAATCTATGCAATCGTTCTGTATCATAATTTCAACGGTGTGCGTTTTTTTTTCTTCTTCCTCGAATCGTGTTGATTCTATCGTGAGATACCCGATAATAGCAGCACTCGTTAATTATTCTGAACCGAGTCCATAAACGCGATAAAATAATTCAGATTTCATTTATCTGAAATAAAGAATTAATTGTCTCTTGTAGATCTTCGAATGCCATTTGCTCGCGTTCATTATCGTGTTATAATCATTTTCTTTTACAGGGTGTTTCACAAAGATTTCTCAAACATATTGTTAATGTTGCAATTTTTTGTTGATGGTGTACAATCTTTTTGAGACACCCTGTACGCCAGTCAAATGTTCGTATTATTTGTCGTGTAGTCGCAATGAAATAAAAAAAGGGAACCATTGGAATCTTTTAACGATTAGTCGTTTGAAAGACTATCTCTCGAGGGTTCGTTTCCTTTTAACCGATGCTTTCGTTAGACGGAAGTCTCAGCCGAGGTAGTGCCGTTAATCGTTAACGGGCTGATGCTTTCCTTCGATCGTATCAAGTCTACCTGTAACGATGAAATCAAATATTTTGTATACACTTTGTTAACCATTTTATTGCTACTGGTTCTTTACTTTTTCCCTCTTTTGGTTTTTGGTTTCAATTTACAATAAATTACGTTCTTATTATTCAAGAAAGAAGTATTGTTTATGTAGTTACTATAAATTTGCCATCTATAAGTCACGCAACGAGAGGTCTAAAGTTGGTAATATAATAAATACTACATATATTTGTAATTTTACAAAATGTACGAACAATAATTCGATCGTTCTAAAAAATTATTTTGATTCAATTAAGATCTTCGAAACATCGTGACGATGCTTGAAGTACGTGCTTTATGGAAAGAGATAAGCTATGAACGCGATGGCAAATGTTTATTCCAACGATAGAAGTTAAACGGTCGTTATGGTACACGAAACTACATTTGTCACGCTGAAATTACCTTATCAAGATAGATAATATTGACCGGCGAATCAAGTATATGCTCGAAATATACATACATGCGCATAGATAAAATTGATAGTGTGCGAACAACATTTAGATGTCTCGGTTTAAGTGAGGAACCATGCAAAAGTAAAAGTCTTTCTCGTTCGATTTTTACTACATCTATTTGAATATTTTCATTCTGAAGTATCAACTAAACCGGAGTCGTCGTTGCGAAGGGAAAAATCTATCTAAGACGACTCGATCAGAAGGGTTCCGTGCAGCCCCCTTTTATAATCTTACTCACAGTAGCGTACAGGGATTATGTTGCATGCCCGTGTATTGGTGCTCTTGCTGTGTAACTTGGTTTGGTGATGGTGATGGTGGTTAGAATTTAGAGTCATTTACGTTTGTCACCTTGATAGAGATCCCATTGTCATCCTCGTCTTCCTCGGTCATCGTGGTTAGCCTCGTAGTCTCGTCAGCCATTAACGAGTTTTCCTTCTTCGAATGTTTCTTTTGTTTCCCCGTGCTAAATTAAAAGCAAACAATCTCTCAACGATCTAATTTTAACGGTAAAAATCTATTTCGTACGTACCTTATTAATTTGGCCTGCTTCGTTTTCTCGTTACCCTCGTTCACCTGCTGCCAAATGCCCGTCTTGTTTACCTCCTCGCTGATGTTGATGCTGGTCATCGGAATCTTCATAACGTTCCCGTTCGCTAGGGAAATCTGTATGTTTCCCGATGGTCCATACCCCATAGATTCGTTCTGTTCCTAAAGATCAAATCGTACGTTCAATCTCATCGTCTACCGCGTCACGATTTTTCGAAATACGAATCAAGCCATGCATCGAACTCAGCGGATACTCTCATCACTATTAATTTGGATACGTAAGCGATCAATTGGTTAGCATCGACCGAGCTAAGGGGACGAAAAAAATAGAACAAGCAGTTATTATTGTACAAATCGGTCATGCGAATCATTCTATTTTTTTCGTGACAACGGAGTTAAAATGTCAGGATCGAATAGCGAAATCGTTCGAACGACGGTGATACTGTTAGTTATCCATGCGATCATGGCTTTAAATCGCAACGAGTTCATCGCAGTGCATCAGAGATCGGAAGTTCAGCATTAATGAAAGTGTCAGTTTTAGCGAGGGTTATGTAGACGCAAAATTTGAGAAATCTTGATTCTTGAGAAACTATATGGACGTGCACTTGTGGCCACGTACCGATGAGAATCGCAGCATTCGACGACCACTGGCAATCTTTTCTCATTTGGCATCCTCATCAATTTCTTTGATCGTCCTTTACTTTTTAGCAATCTTTTTATTATTTTTTTCTTTCATTTCCGTAATTCGTTAACACGTCGTTTTTCAATCTTACGTAACCTGCTAACTGGAGTTAAACTCGAACAACTTGCGTCCTGATGCACCTGTGCAACTTAATCTTAAGTTCTACTTTGTTGCCACTGCAGCTGACTCTTGTAGAGAAATTTTAACGTTTGTCTACGTAACAAATAATCCAGTTAACAGGTTAAAAAGAATTTGGTTATATTTATTTTGTTTTTTATGCGGATAAAATTGTGTCTGGCTCGTGTACTGTGTCGATCAAGAGCTGCACAAGGAAGAGTTGGGATTACAGAGAGATTTGTGTGTGTTCTTAAACAATAATGTATTTTCATAGGTCAAAGGTAGGCAATAAATTTAGCATTCGATGGTACATCGAAACGATTACATACATGTGTAGTGTCGCGAATGATGAACGAAACATTGTAATAATTTAGCGCGTTATCGCGATAATAAAAGAAAATAATGGTAATTCTTTCTTTTAGGCCGGAATAAATGAACGATATCGTAACGTTACGTTTTGGAACTGTTTAATCGTATAAATATACTCGATAGTTATAGTGTTTTTGTTTTTCATCTATTGTCGGTTTAATTGCGATACAAGAAAGAAGCTTATCTATGAAAATGTTTCAGACAATTTCGTATCCAAAATCGTTATTATTCAACGACGATACACAGGGCGATTCATAATTGTTACACTATAAAACAAGCGAATAATATTTTCTGTCTGTTGACCGCTCATTTATGAATCACCCTATATAATTGTTACATGTAATACTGGTCGGACCGAATGCCTATTGGATTCGGGTCATTTGGCACTAAAAGACGAGAAAATTGTTTCCCGTGGCCGCGAATGGAACACATTTATTGTATAACAAGATTCGATAAACTAAACAAGGTTTTTATTATCGCTAATACTTTACGGGCAACTCTCGTCATCTTGGCATTTTCAATGACGAATCAAGTTATTGCTTTGGTCAAACAAGACTGTAACAATGACGATGACAACGACGAGGCCATTTTTACTAGGATATTCGTATCAACGATGGAAAACGATTAAATTTACGGTTCTCCTGGCATCTGAAATTGTACTAAAACATTCTGTCAGGACGGTTTTTATTCTTCATACGTATAGTCGATTTCTTATATGCAGACTCTTGAAAGGGAGTCTAGTAAAGGCAAAACCGAACAATCGAGGGTCTCAGGACATTTCACCCTCAACTTCGAATCGAGGAGTAGTTCGAGGTCAACGAGTTAAAGAAGAACGAACGATATAATGTTGCTACATGTCATGTTTTGGTAAGATTTTAGATGTCGAAAGAACCATCGATGTTCCCGCGTTTACGCGTTGCTCGCGTTTCCAGTCATCCTGTCGCAGACGGTCACCGTGACCACGGGGCAAATTTTCACCACGCGATCACTTGTCGTGTGTTATTTACGGCAAACGATGGCATTTAGTATTCGTCTGACGGTGCTAACCTCGCCACTCTCCAACTGGCGAAGATCGTCTGCATGTTTTTTGCTCGGCTCCGGCATAACGTCGTCCAGGATCTTCAGTTCTCTTTGGGTGAAAAACAGGTCCAGGGATTTGCGTATCCCGATCATCACCACGAGCTAATTTAAACAAACATACGAGGTGTTGGCTTCACATAGCTATCTCCTATGACCAGCTCCGATAACGATAGTAGTTCACTCACCATCAATGGGAACAAAATGGACGTACTGCTAAATGACTTTATAATCCACAAGCAAGCCAAACAGGCCAATTGTATCACGGTAAACAGATGCACGCGTTTCAAGGGTACCTGTAACAAGATCGTTGTTCGATTTCATCTGTGCGATGGACGGTCGAAAGGAAAACGATAACTGTATCACCTGTCGAAGGAACATGTAATCTGGTTGATATTTGACGGGCATCAGCATGATAAGTATCCTATCGAAGAATTGTAGACCCTTCAGAGAAGCGACTCCCATGTACAGAAACACGCCAAACAGTACAGGCATCGGTATATGTTTCAACATTGGCGTCAATAGAACGGAACATCCGATCATCAGGAAGATCAGTATATGCGTGACGCGTTGTTCTCGTACACCGAGAAACTGTGGCTTCTCTCCCGGTGCAGCGCATTCGGACTCCAGCTTCAACGAGTTCACGTGGTTTATAGAAAGCACCGTAGCAGCCACGAACCATGGCAATCCCATTACGGAGCAAATCTCAATCAGAATCGCGAGAATGAACAGATCCAAATGATAACCGCATCCTTTCTGAAAATCAACGACGTACTTCACTGATGTTTTCCATGCAGGATAAGATCTTGAACAGGAAGATGGATTTACCTTCAGTTTGTTCTCTTTCCTGTTCACTATCACCGCTGTAATCTGCTGATCCATGAAGATCAATATAGTGCCTAATAGAGCAGGCAGACACGCGACGATGGCGCTCCACCAAGGATTGTTTTGGAAGGGCCAGATCATCCATCCTCGACCGTTCAACGTCGGCTTAAATTCTTCAGGTACTTCCAACTTTGGCGTCGGGATGTTGACGAAGTGATCGAGCGCGCTCATCGAGAAAATCGCGATTATCACCGCGAAATCGCTGACCACCTGTCTGACCTGTTTCGAACATAACGCGTGATCTTACTCTGACCAAATCTATTTTGTAGTACCAGCGTTCTTTGAACGAATCTTCAAACAAAAGGGAAAGAATACCTTTGATGGGAAGAAAAGAGCGTTTTTGAAATCTTTGAGTTCGACGGATAGTAAGAATGTGCCCATAAAGAGTATAATTGACATGAGGAACACATCGGGTATGTAATGCGGTAGATTACAACCATCGCCCACGAGCGTGCCGTTGTAGCTCTGAAACAAAATGGAGTTAACGATACGCAGAGATTAAGGAGACCGTGTACTTGGTAATTTTAGAAAACCGTTCCACGTTTCAACAGTATCGGATTAACCTGGCATGCTTTCGGATCCAACGCTGTCCAATTGACGTTATCGTAGCTAGACGGTAAACTACCATTTGGTGGCCTGCACCAGCATTCGAAGCTAAATGGGTCGTTAGCGTGAGTGTTGATCGGGTACTTTTTACCTATCGACAGCACGTTCTCGATAGCCTGAAACAAACAAGTTTTTCCTTAATAGAAACTTTTCGTTCGAAAAACGTAAGCGAGTAGGTACGTGTCGCATAAGGGTTAATGAATCGAAAGGTATTTGATTTGTGGCTTCTTGCTCGTCAAGATCGAGGTCAATCGAAGTTTTCAAGTTTCTTCGTGTCCTCGAAGCCCGATGGGTTCGATCGGACACAGGTATATCGTGATTCGTGACCCAAATACCGGCGATTTCGCTGATGAAGCAATTCGCGAAGCATACAGGGTTGTGTCCCATCCAATTAACTTGGTACGAGAAGGACGCGATTGCGTAATTAACTTGCTCAAGGGTAACTAAAACGGCGGTGCATTTCCAGGGGAATTTCCTCTTTGATAAAAGTCGGAGAGTCGTAATGGACATCGACTTACCTTGTAAATGAAGATGAACGCGATGAGGGTGGCAAAGTTTTCTTCCGTAAATCGCGTGATGTAGCACACCAGGGCGCTAGCGTCGACCGCGACCAAGATTACCAAGATCAACGTTATCCACGAGCCGATCCAGAAACGAAAGGACATGTAGTTCCAGTCAGATTTTCTGTCAACACGATGTATAGTTTATGTCGTACCTTGCGATAAAATTCAGTACAAATTGTTTCGGGGATGAATTTCGACTGCTTCTACTCACTTGCAAAATTCGTAGACGATCGTTTCGAAGACCAAAACTGGCCCGGTTGAACCTAGAATGGTTAAAGGTTGTCCAGAGAAGAATCCGTAACCGATACCGCACACGAAACCGGAAACAAGCGACTCCATGGCGGCCATATTCTTTCCAGTGGCTTCGCCCAGTAAGCCACCGAAGGTGATGATAGGCGATAGGCAAGCAAAGTAGAGGAAAATGAAGGAGGCCACGCATTGCAACGCCAAAGCGTCTTTAAAATCGGATAGGTAAAAGGGTGCCTTCCTCTTAACGTCGTTGATCAAACCGCCGAACAGTTTCCCCGACCTAGAGAGACCCGATTCTTCCCTTTGTTTCTGTTCATCCGCCTCTTCGTCGAATTCCTCCTTCGGTTTCTCTTCTTTCGGCCGTTTTCTCACGTCCTGGACACATCGAATAGGATCACAAATAGAATGTAGAACGCGGTGAAATGTCTATCAATCGTTTTACCTGCGAAGGAATCGCTGCAGGAGGTTCTATCCTGATGGCAGGGTCCCATTCTCCTGGCGGTAGAACCGTGACCGCGTCCAGGAACTCGTCGATTCCAGCCAACAAGTGATTCCTATTTTTTGCCTTGTAAGCCACATCGTGGAAAACCTCGTCCGACATTAAAGTAGCCATCGCGCGACCGATTTCGTGGAAACCTGAGATTCCTCCCTGTTTCGAAACGACTCCGAGATAATAGAAAATTCTCCGATGAATAATTATCGTTTGGTTCAATAACTTTAACATCCCCGAACACTTCGTTGTAAACTAAACAGGCCGCGATGTCGAATAAACGAGGAGCGGAAGCAACCGTAAAATGGCTAGAATCTCGCTAACGATAACGAAGCTTCAATTTGTTTCCAGTAGAAATTGCTTCGAGTATCGGTCTTTCGAGGATAGTCAGGGCAATAAGCGTGGACAATTGCTTCGTTAAAGCATTAATTACCAGAAAGAAGGATCGAGCTGTTCGTTCGAGTTACTTGAAATCTATCGACGGCACTTCGCAAAGAATGCCGGGTGCGGCCGAAAGGTTGGAGTTACGAGAACGATAACTCAAAATGCGATTCGACGGCAACGATTAACGCGTTAACGGAAGCGAAACGTTCGTTGATGTTATAAATCTTACCGTGGGTCCTAGCAGGACGAATATAAATCTCGTTGGTACAGGAACTTCCGTTAAATCGCCCATTATTCCCGCCTGGCTTAGCCGAATAAACGCTGACAGGGTCTTATCTAAAAAATCGACCTCTCCAACGAGAATATTGCTCGCCTCGGCCCCTGCTGGTATTTTTCGCATAAAATGTATGTTAGCCTAATAAAAAGAGAAGCATCGAGTTACGTTCACGAACAGTTTTTAAACGACGCAAGAACGCGATTACGCTGTCCAATCGAATATCAAAATGTCGGGAATAAGTTAAGATCCGTTGGACAGAGCAATCGAGGATCGATCGAATCAACGAACCCTGTGATTCGCGTCTCCATTTTCCAAAGCCGATGAACTGTGGTTTCTGCTAATTGACACGCTGCTTGGACTTCGATCCATCCCGTTGGTGCCTGGTTCTTGGCCTGAAAGAGATCTAGCTTACCGCCTACCGCGTCTTTCAAGGTGAATTCGCGGCTAGAAATCGCGTGGGCATTGTAATCGACAGGAATACGCGTTTTTCCTCCCGATTACCACGCTTCTATCCGGGATCATTAAAAGTTGGATAGCAGCGACCCACGTTCGTTCACGTGTCGAGAGCGTTTCCGAGTTGCTGGAATCCGATAGCAGAAATCTCCGGGGATTGTTGGAGAAGTCTTATAAGTTCGCGCTTTCAACCCTTTTACTAGATAATAGTCGAGCGTAGTAGTTTTTTGCTAAACGATTTCGAGGGAATTCAACAATTTGCGTTCGAGAAACGCGTCGGAAACGAAGAAGAGTTACGGAGTAATTTTCAACTTTGCGCGTCTACTCTACGATCATTTCGTGTTTTCGAAAATTGTACAAAGCATTTCAACGGGTTTAATTCGACGCGTAAGAGAGATTTTCCGATTCGAAGCCCGACTTTTTAATTATCGTTAAATTGCCTTTGTTCGTTACACGTCGTTCCCATTAAATGTCAAGTGCGTGTTACTCAACCCTTCGGAAGGGCGATTAGACTTTATCGATAGATTGACCAACACCACTCGAGAACAGAAGCGATTTTGTTTTCCGTGTTTCTACTTGCTCCGGATAATCGTTGGTCGATACGCGTGTTATTTTCAGCGACCTCGTGTCGGGCTTCGCGACGTGTTCGAACCATTTACTCTTCGTTCAAGATTCGAGCAACTCGCGACACTCTCGTTGCTGTCAATTCAACGTTCGAGGAAACGTTAACGCGCTCGCTATATTGCGAATTCTTCAAACAGAGAATTTGTCTTGAAACGTAGTTAAAAGGACAACGATTAAACATCAAAGAAAGTGTCGAATAACGTTAACATCATAATGTTAATACCGATAATGTCGAGTCGATAACTGATATTACGTTAGTAACGTATAAAAGTAAACGGGAAGCTTAAGCTGGAAAGTAGAGCGAACGCGTTTAACTTGGAAACTTTTGTTCTTCGTTGCCTCGAACGTTCGAATATTAGCGGATACGGGAGAATGGAAGCGTACCGCCGCTACAGGAAATCTAAGTCGACGAGAAGATTTCTGGCATGTTATACGTGTTAAGAGAATAGAAGAGAAGCAAGCAGAAAATAGCAGTTTACCGGGATTACCGGGAACGGCAAGGAAACGGCTACCGGCATTCAGCACTGCCCCACTGCCGTGACTTGTAGCACCGGCGATCGCCGGGGCGGAATTCGATTCCTCCACTAAAAATGAGCATGAAACATACACCAGGAGCAGCCGTTTATTTACAGAGGAAGGAACCAAAATCACCTTTGCCCGGAAATGTTCAGCTTTCCTTTCACCCCTCCTGAGAATGACTTGTGCTACGCTTCTTTAATCGACAATCATATCGATAAATATTTTAGTTTTATCTGTATTGCTGTGCCGATAATTCTCTATTATTCATTGTCTGTTTGATGTTAAAGCCAAAGATAATTTACTGTTGGTACACAGAGTAGATACCGAGTCGTTGACTAATGAAGGAAGCCACGATACGAGTTTATCTAATGTCCTCGGTTTTGAATGCGTTAATAATCTTCAACCTCGTTTAGTAAATTTTATCGTGTACAATCTAAACTGTCTACTCGTTAGAGTTCAAGTACACGCTTGGATGTACACTCGGTTGCCATTCACAGGATGGGGTCCAGAAGCGACCCACCACCTCTGTTCGAGGGTTAAGGAAATAAGTGGAGGAGAAAAGGGAAATTGGGATGCTGAAAAGTTAGAACGTTGGTCGATTGTAAAAGTGTGCGACAGTTAGCGGTACAAGGTACGGTATCAAGTAATCAAAGTACACATTGAGTCACGTGCAGATTATACAATTAGAGCGTAAGATCATGCCTCGTGATTAGTACTGTAAAAAGGTTCTCCTACGCGTTCTCACGATCGTGCACTCGAATATTATTATTGAACGCGGTCATTTATTGACCTTCCGCAAAGAAGTCATCGTTTTGTAACGAAACGAATTTTTCATCCGAGTCGATTGACAATGTAACGGAGGAAACGAATTTTAAAATATTCAAGCAGAATCGATCGCGATTCTTGCCGAGTACAACGTTGTACTCTCAGTAGTGGCAGTCGGTACTTGTCAGACACAGGTCGAATCAGTTTACTGCTCGAACAAATCGACATCGTTCGTTCGGAAACATCGTAGTATATTAATTTGTCAATTCTTGCTATTGCTTAACGGACAGATTACGAGGTAATCTATTTGACGTAAATGAAATATCTTTCCAGGCGAGATGTCTATTTATTTTCAATCTCGGACAGCTTTCGACGAGTGTAAAGAATTATTGTACGAAGTTATCTCGAGTATATCGGTACTTATCAACTTCGATATATCAATTGCAAGAATAATATTCATAAATTAACGGACGTGTGTAAAGTTTCGTGGTACATGAATATATCGTATTTTAAGAAAACTACGTACCTTTAAAGGTCTACTTTTAAAAACGACATTTTATACACAACAACCTAATAACACAATTGGAAAAATGATATCGAATAGAAGAAATCAGTACGAATTATCAACATCGTGCAATACTCAATTGCTAAACATCGAGACGCTTATAAAAAGAAAGAAATGAGACGTTTTAATCGATAACACTTTAGATACGATTCCGACTCGATAGTATACGTATACAGGGCAAGTGACAAAGATAAGAAAAAGAGAAGAAAAATACGGGAGAATGTAAGAGTACAGATTTGTGCTTTTGTGAAACGCCTGACGGTCTAACCTTTTAGTTGACACATGGCGAACCACGTCGTGAATCCTACCACGTGAGGAATGCCAAATTCGTCTGACAGAAAAACAAGAAACATATGTGAATATTTCTCGATCGAAACTGGTCGAGTTAATCGTCTGTACTCGCGATACCGCGGGGAAACATTCAAATTTGAGTGCACGTCGATACAAATTCTCATAGGAGTTAGAATTGGTTAATAAGGGTTAGTAGGTTAACCTTTTGTTAACGAAGCTGCTGATATTTAAATGACCCTGAGGAATAACTATTACTAAGCGAGAAAAGGTTATAGAAACTTGCTTTTTTTACGAGTAACTTTGTTCTTGACGAACAGAATCAATTGCGAGTGCTATATGTATTAAATCACTTTTTATATACAATATTTAAACTGATAAAATAAACTTATTTGTCATACCTGTTTTATCTGTTAAGCGTCTTTGAAAATTCACGTGTCATTACGAAATCCTTTCATAAGTTATCTCACCGCGATCAGTCTGAACAACAGATGTTCTTTGGATTTAAACCGTGATTAATATCTATATTCTACAGTTCATTGAAACCTATCTTAAGCTTTCGCGTTATATTTATTTGTAAAGTTTCTCGTTTTAATCAGTGCCGATAACTGAAAAATATTTACGGAAGAATCCATTAAATTTACCTACATGTTTCATTATGAAACACGTGACAATATTTTTCGATCGATATTATCGTATTATCTTTTCACGTTACCTAATTCTGGAAAAAGCGTTATCGCTCTATAACCGTACGATTAATTCAAGTTTGAGAAAAAGAACTATAATATATTTATGAAAATTTCAAGAAGTCACGATCCTACAATAAACAGCAGATATTAATGTTACGATAAGCCGGGACCAAAGTATGGTCATCCGAAATCAAACCTAATCAGTCTCTTCGAACCCGTGAAATGGATTCGATCCAGACCGAAATTTGACTTTTGATGGCCATTTGTTAGTGGGACTAATGTTTTGAAGCAAGAAACGTTAGAAAGCTGTGAAACCGACATAATTCACGGACGATCTAGGCTGATCAGCTATCTGGCCTAATATTATACCTGGAACCAGAAGGTATGGTCCTTTAAGATCTTTCGCTTCTTTCGACAGCAGAGCCGTGTTCGAATTTGGACAGCTACTGCTGCGCGCCACCGCGGGCGCATACGCGTCCACGGGTTCGCGACGCTCCTGTAAATCTGACGTCAACAACGCATGCAAACCACATGAACAGTCTTCATCTGAAAATGTCGAGCGTTTCGCACGTGTTTAGTGTGATCGTGGTAACTGTGAATCAGTGTGCCGCGTTTCATCCTTTCGGTGCCTTTCGCTTTTGCTACATCATACCATAAATGAATAATAAAAACTTCGTAAAAAATAGGTCGATAAATGAACACGTTGACTGGTAAATACGCTTTAACCCCTGTACGATATTTCTTCGATCAAATTTATGGTAAAGTAGCATTTTAATCGAGGCTTTCCCGCATAAATTGGTAAAAGCGTTAAAGCAGTCAACGTGTTAGAAATGAATAAAAATAAAATAGGATATCGAATCAAGAAACTGGTTGACAAAATATAGTCGGTAAAAGAGAAATATAACAGTGGGGAATGTAAAGTCGAATCGAGACAATCGAAGGGTTGTATTTTACTCGAAACGTCGATATTCCAGACTCCTTGTCGGCTTCGAGGATGGTTCCGTAACCAAATGTTTGTATTTTCGTAATCAATGCTAAATCGATATGTTCGAATATATTCGGCACACTTACTCTTCGAGGAGGAATGATTCCGTCCGATCTCGGCTAGCGATCTGATGATCGGTAGCCTGGACATGTTGTTGTCCTTACGCCTCTCGTGTTGGTGTCGATGTCTTACCAGAAGTGCTTCCCTGACCTGCGATGCAAAAGCAATTCTTTCGAAGTGTCCTCGGAAATTAGAAATAAAGCAAAATGGATTTCAACGTCGCTGAACAATTTGTTGCGAATACGTAGTTTGAAAAAATGCAACGATGGGAGGACCGATTTAGTAATTGGATAAAGGCAACTCCACATATTCCACGATTGAATCAGTTATAATTTCTAAATTACCTTCTCCCTCGACTCGATGGCTAACGATCCCTTGTTGATCATATTATCCAGGACTAAATCGGCGATTTGTTCCAAGCTTGTTGCCTCCATGTCCAGCATCACGGTGCCATTTAACAGCAGGCTTCTCAACTCGAACAACGAGTGCAACGATAGAGTCGCTACATGAGGTTTACTCCATCTGTTTCCACCCTCTTCCACGTCCTCCTCGAACTTGATCCATCTAGAATACGTATTCGCGGGCCAAAATAAAGTCCAATGCCGAGTTAAAAGAGTTATCGAGAACTCGAGGTAAAGAGGCGGGGAAATTACCTGGCTGTTTCCTTCCATTCCATCTCATCCCCATCCTTGACGAGCTCCTCCATCTCGGAGAAGAGAGGATGGGACTCGTGAGCATCGTCGCCGACTTCCTCGCCCAGGATGAACTGCACCCTTTGGGCTGGCGGGGTAACTGCAATTGCAGACGTTCGTTCGTGAAAAGACAGACTCTCCGGCGTACATTTTCTCACGAACCAGTGAAACATCAACGCGTTGAATGCCTTTCTGATTTATATCATCCCCCTGTTAAGAAATAGCTGCGCTTCTATCGATATAAAGTTCTCGTTGATTCTTTCGAGTCCAGCATTCAACGGTCAACCGATGAAATATCGATGCAGAAGAACACATAAAAAGAGGAATCGTGTGGTGAAACACCAAAAACAAAACAGTTGGTTTCCTCTCCTGGTCACTTGCTCTGTGTAACCCTGCGTGTTTAAAAATCGCAAAGTTTCGATTTGGCTGGACTGCGTGCGCGTGCATTGTCTAAATGTGTTTAGCGTGATGGAGAACGCGTTCCGCCAGCCGTTCAAGCATCAAAGAACGATGGAAACATACACTTGCCGTTAGATGGTCGGATACGAGAGAATTCGAGAAATAAAAGGGGAATGAAACGTCGACCCGTGAAAAGAGAGAGCCGTTCGAATGAACGTCGTGCGAGAGTGATTCGCGCGAATTCTGCGATGATCGATGACGCATGCACGCGGCTTTAATGACGAATATCGAGAAATATAGAGTATAGACGAGTTCCGTTTTTGTTTTTTCAATTAAATCTGGCTAAATATTCGTCGAGACCATTCGTATAGCTGAACGAGAAGAGTTATCGATCGCGGTTTCCGCGAAGCGAACGTTTCACGCGTGTTTTCACTGAAAAAATCGAGTGAGCGATCGATGCATCACGCTTCGGCAGATGCGGCGATGCTCTTTATGTAACTACGATAAACGATGTAATCAGACGTAGTCGCGTATTAAAGATTCTATAAATATTAATTTCGCTGAGGCACGATCGTGTCCCTGCACCGTGTTTAAACTGATAATCTAAACGTAATCAACAGGCTTTTAACGTTTGCGCAAATACGAAGTGCGATTTGTAATCGTTTACATTTTGAAAAAGCGACGAAACATAAAAACGGCAGACTTACACATTTTTTATATTTCTGTTTGCTACGTACGTACATGCTCTTCGAAGCAATTCAAAAATTTTGCAAATTCACGATTGTTAAGGATATTAACACCTTTATTCTGATCCTTCTATCGATAAAAATAGCAATGACTTCGATTTCGCGTTGATTTTTTATAATTGCATTCGCGTACGAATGATCTCTGGATGAGAGTGTATTTGGTAAAAAGAATACAGAAAATTCTGGTACGTAGATGAACTGGCTTACGTATCATCTCGCCGTCGGGATCGCAGATGCTAGATAGTAGACTCCTTCGAGTCATCAGCAATTGTCCTGAAACGGCAACGAGACAACAAACGCCACCTGAAGTAATCACTTTTTCACAAAATACCCTAATTATTATACCGAATGCAGAGCGATGCATTCAAAAGTATACAGTTCAATTTACGTATAGGTATGAAATTAATCTGTAAAGTTGCAGAGAGAGATACAGAATCAGAGAATGGTTGATTTAAAAAGACATACGATCAATAAAGCGTTAATCGTGCAGTTGGAGGCGACACTCGGTTGATATTCTTGGAACACTGATATGGATTAACGCGATGGCTGGCATCAGGAATCGTTAGCGATTCAGATATTCCATTTTCCAATAAAAGTTTTTCAGTCGACATACGAAATGACATTATCTTTATTCGAAATTTCTTTTTCCTAGGATTAATGACGAGGCTCTGGCAACGATCACCGTGGAACCTTTATCCCAGTAGATGAAAGTACACGGAAGATTTAAGGGAAACGGAGGATGGAAAACCCTTGGTGGGGCTCGATATCGGTCACCCTCTTGTACCCGGTGTTCCAGAAGTAGGGTGAATAGCCGGAGAAGTTGTGACAAGTGGTTGGCTGGTTGCCACGTATCGTTCGATAATGCCGCAAAGTACAACACACTATAAAAAGTTTCAGGCGCCTATATGACGAAACGATGATGTATGGTACTCGTTCCGTTCGCGAATCGATAAAATAGAAATCGTTCCTCGAGCTGATTAATTCACGAATAACAAGTATTCGTCTCGATAACAATTTCTCTGACTCCTTTTAAATTTATTTAAAATATACGATGCCAAGGTCGATCTTTGCATTCGCTTAGAGTCGCGCGTTATCCGCCAAGCATATTTACACTTCGAATTACTTTCTATCGTCTCTTTGACGTCGCTTCTCGTCGAGAGGGATCGTCCTTCATTCGCCGGCAATAACGAATCGTTCCATTTGATCAGTCGATCAATTAAAAAGAAAAAAAAATTACTTTCCGCGATTTCCCCGCTCACAGTCTGCTTCCTTGTAACGCGCACGGGCCAAAGGTAGATCCACGCCCATCGGTTCGACAACAAAACGAGCTATTCGACTAACTATTCGACGAGCGATCGATCGGTTTCGCTGCTAGAAGCAATCTCGTCTGTCTCCGTCGACGAGATGGGTCGCTGCCCGGGCGTTTCAACTTCTCGTTGTTTCCCTTTTCGACGAACAACGTCGTTCGTCTCGTGATCGATAACCACCACGAATAAAAACGAGAAGAGGCAAAAATGTCTCTGTTGTAGGTCACGAGGCTCGCGCCGATTTGTGGTGCTCTTTTACACCGAAATCTCAGTTAATCGCTCTCGCGCCGCCTCGAAGAGATCCGCTTGAACCGGCGGAAAGAAGGCACTCGAAACTCGAGATACAGACTGTTAGAATTCCAACGAACCATGCGGCTCACGCCTCGACGATAGTCGACCATTCTTCTTTTCCCTGCGGTCTACGAGATGCCTCTTTTGCGATTATACGATCAATCGGATAACGAATTCGAACCTTGGTTTACCTACAGTCTTCAACGAATTGTTAGATTATTGTATACCGGATGATTAGATGACATAAAAGTATCGCAAAGTCTTATTCATGGTGTATTTTAACAGAAATTGCAAAGTTAATTTCGTTAGTTTCTAGGTTAAAGTATCATTTTTATGTCATCCAATTCTGTACGATCATTATTTCTAATAATAAGCTATGTACGATTTCCAGGATGAAGTAGGAAAGCTATAGCTTTCGAAAAGATCGAAGAAAAAAGAGTGTCGAAAAAGCGTGGAAACGGAAAAGGAGAGTTAGATTTAAACTTACTGGGTCTATCGCTGTCGACATTTTCCTTGGTGGTACTGTACGTTTGACGCTGGGAATGATGGTGCTTGTGGTGACGACGATGTCTCCTTTCTCCAGGTAGATGCACGCCCACGTACACCGTGTGCGCTCTGTGACCTGGAAGCAGATGAAAGAGGGTTGGCGTCGGTGTCTCTGTCGATTCGATATTCTACTACTTCTCTATGATTATCGATAATAAAAACCCTTTTTCACGAGCGTGTGCCAGAGAAAGAGAGGAAAAGCCACGATCTTTTCCTCATCGGTGGAGGATTCGACTGCGCCATCGATTCAATTTTCTTCTCAACCAACGAGTAAATGTATCGGCTTTAAAATTAGATTTACGATTCGCATTTTTTTCTCTAGAATTATTCATTGAAATTTTCGATCAAAGAAGCCGCTACTCTAATCGATAATCCTTTGTTACGTTCGTGATCACTTTTTATACCTTCTCGATGGAATTCCAGTGGTCTTTCTCCGATGCAAAATAAATAAATTTTGAGCGAATTTATTGGGCAAAAGCTTCAGAAAAGAATAGACGAAGATACTTTTAAACGAATCAGATGTAATTGGGACACTTCGTCGGCCATAGGGTAATGCGAATCGATTCGATTCCATGAAACGGTTCAAGATCAAGTCGGGACAGGTGACCAAGCGACACGGCTGAACGAAATAATGATTTTCGAAGCACCGTACGTTCTGTTGAGCAAACAACGAAGCCAGATTCACGCGTGTACACAGCTGACCTAGGCAGGGATAGCTGTTATAGGGCCGATTTAAATGGCAGGTCATCGTAAGAGAGCGAAAGTTTCCATTTCAACGAAGAAACGGTAAAAAACTAAATACCTTCGTAATCCTTCTCGGTGTAAGATTGATGAGTGATTCGAATACCGGGGTCTTTTGGAGCCTCGTCGTCACCTGTCCCACCTGTGTGGGCCACGCCACTCCCGCCTCCAACACCTGGCTGCATCCACGGTCTAGAAAATAAATGACACACGGACGTGAAATTACCAAGTACAACAACGTTCCACGTATTTGCGACCAAGTACTATACGTATCGACCAAAAGTATAGGATTACCGCGCTATTTAATTGTCACGAGATCATGAGAGTACCTCGTGAGAATATCTAATTTGCGCGAAATCGATTCGAGGGCAAACGATTTCGTTTAAAAAAAAAAATAAAAGAGAAGTTGCTTTATGGAAAGACGGTCCCATAATTTTGGTCAGTAGTGCGGATCAACGGACACGATTTGTATCTCTTGGCGAAAACGACGATCCACGTCGGCTCGGCGACGTTCGAATGACACCAAAGCCAAGCCTCATGAAGCGTTTACGCGATATCGACGAGCCGTCGACTGTGACGACGTTCGAGCGTAAAGTGACCGATAAACGTAAATCGTTCCCCCGAATTTGCCCGCTGAAACGGCGACGTTTGGGAGGAAAAACGTCGCGTGGGATCGTGAAATAACTCGGTTCGTCCGTTCGCGATTACCGGCGACGCGCACGCGATTTTATAATAATTAAACTTCCTCGCCGAAAGGAAGTGTGTACTTTGTTCGTGCCGCGGCATGCGCACGTGCTTCCTCGCTCCTTTGTCACGCTCTTTTCTTTCGCTTTCTACGGGGCACCATTGTTCCTGAGCGTTATCGGTGTCAAATTCGATCGACACTTTGACAAAAGGCAGAACACGGACGTTGTAGATGCAGATGCAGCTATTGTACCTTTTGCTGAAAGATAACGCGAAGAGAGAGGGTATATTTAACTTCGAAAGTATCAAAGTACGATAATTTTCTGTTTGACGGATCGTTTCCGAGGAAGAATAGATGTAGGTGAAAATTCGCGACATCCGGTCGAGCGAAGAAACGCCTATTGTTCTCGATCGCCGACGTTAACAAGGTCTACGAGAAAAATTGACGTTTGTTTTGTCGAATTCGAAGGCAGGTGATAATTGGTTTGAATAGAGATCACGAGTGGCACGCGATGCGTGCAATCCGCTCGACGTGTATAATCACGCGAGCGATTATTACAAACGAGATTTGTTCCATGCCGAACGCAGATGTGTCCCTGACGATCAAGCAAAAGCGGTACAGAGATAATGGAAGTTACGATGCCGAGAATAATAGTAATGCTTGGATACGCGAATTTATGGAAGAGTCGTGTTCGTACTGCGAAAAAATCCACTTCTTGCACGCGTCCGAGAGCTTTATTTCGAATAATTCCTCGTGTTTTAGAGAATCGTAGCTCTACTAGCTTTATGAGAAAAGACAAATTGCCCACGTAATGCGAAGATAAGTCTCTACGCGTGTTCGAAAATGTATATTGTTGGTCAAAGATCTTGTTCGTATCTAATTCAACATGATTTCCTACTGTTACAATATCTGATAAATTGCAGACAGGAATCTGTTAAGTACCGAACACGATGCATTGCGAAGCAAGGAAACGTAATTACTTTCAGACGTTTTTCTCGGGATATTTAAGAAATTTCTAGGCAGTAATGTACGTGTGCGCCGTGTCACATTGAAACGATGACTGACGTAAAACGAGAACAATGAAGAAAAATTGCGGCGATGGTACAGCGGAAGAAAAGTGGAGAAAAATAACAGAAAATATTATCACGAAATGATCGTGGTTCGAAATTAATTTGCAAATAAAACAATGCGCGACATTTATTGTTCGCGCTTGATTCGAAGCGGTTGAGAAACTCTCGAATCGTTTCATCCTGCGTTAATTTAACGACGATTAAAAAACACCGAGACTTTTCGCGATGAAAATAATGAGTTAACTACGGAAATGGGAAGCTCGTTAGTTATCGGAACAGCCGTACAAGCGCACTCGTTATTCCGTGTTTACCGCACATATTTTATGGTTGCTCGAAGCATCTCTCGATGCTGGAATGTTTCTCCGATAGGAAACAGGTCTTTCAGCGACGTATAATAGTTAATAACTTCATGACGAGATTGCGAAACAACGACGTTTCACGATCGCGTATATTTTTAACACTTTACGCTCTTTGTAAATGCAGGAGTCTTATTTAAACGCGTGTCGCGTATCGATTATAAAACAGAGTGGGTCGCGAAGATGTTCGAGCATTCGAGATAGCCGTGATCTCTACATATTTTGAGAAAGCAACAATTTCGATTCAAATGTTGTACGAACATTTATTGCCACGGGGGTCACCGATGGTTGACGTTTCAATTCCGAAGCATCAAATAATCGAGTAACGCTATAATTCAGCAGATTGAAAAGTTCAAGTGAAAAATGAAATCATCGTATTCTTGATAACTGTCGTTATTGCTACGGTCATTTTCACATTGACGTTCAACCGTGTAACTAATTGTCTGCACAGCGTGACTTTGCACACATGGCTACTTTCACTGTGTGTTAGTCAACGCGTTACTCGGCGCAGTAGAATCAGACGTGTCTGGTACCGTGCACGATACCAACGATTCATTTTTACCCTAACGCTAACGTTACAATTACTTTGTTCGAATTGCCAACGTGCTTTTAGCGGTATTAAAAATTCTTTTCTTTATGCTCCACTAAATTGCAATTCGTGTCAACGAGTGTTACTATCCATACAAAAGAAAAGAGAAATTTAATGACTGTGCTCTTCATGATCGCAATAAAGTGTTCTTAGTAAGTGTCACTATCGCGATACTAGCAATTAACAAAAGCTCGAACATTTAATTATCTGAAAGAATTGATGATCGATAAACAATCTAGTTCCTATCGTTTATCTACCATCGCGTTATCGAAGTGATCGTCGATGTAATTGAAACGAAACTTGCCATAGCATAGTACCATCTTTATCGCGCAAATGAATTAATTGGTTACAAAAGGAGCTTGTCCCGATAATTACGCTGGTAAAGATAACGACAGAACTTTGTCGCAAACTGAACCGGTAGACCAGTCTCGAATTGCAAAAAATGTCGCATTACAAGGACTTTTTCATTCGACGTTGTTGCTACTCGTTAATGCTCTCATAGGTTCGACCTCACACGTTAACGTTCACCACAAATTTTCTGCCATCACAAAATAAAAACGTCCGCGCGAATGGACACTGATCGTGAATTTATGTAGAAAACACTCCAACAATTGCAATATTACTCTAGATACGCTAGATTCGAAGTTGATCAGAATTACGCGATAAATATGTACTATACGATAAATTTTAATTCATGTATCCGCACGATCGCACGCGGTATTATATGACGTCGTATGTCAGAAAGATTTTAATGCCCATTCAAATTTTTGTATCGGAGCATTCAACTGTAGTAATAACACCGATTCAAAGAAAACATGCATTCAGGTTCGAAGATAAGATAAAAGAAGTTTGGTTTCGGCGTTTTAGAAAAGATCTGGTCGTTAGGAGCGATCGTTTCTGACGGTCACGCGATGACCTCCGACAATTAAACAATTATCGTGTCTCCCCCTCGTTTATTATACCACTCTCCCTTGGTAGACACGACGAGAGGGCCGTCTATTATGTAAAAGCATGCGTATAGGTAGAACGCAGATAATCATAGCGCGGTAATTATCCACTTGACGGCTGGTAATGCCGATGGCTGGACCGAACCGTTCGACGTTTGTCACGATCTTGACATTCCGACCACCCATTTTCGACAGAACGTTGGCTTCTTCGAATCGATTCCGCGATCAAAACGCCCCTCTAAACTAAATATCTTCTAACTCGTTAGAATTATAATCGTAATTACTTGGAATCCGACCGTTACATTACTCGGTTTCAACCTTTCTACTTGATCACTCGCTTCGGTAACATAATATTAATGCGGTTGAAAATTGCCTTGAACTTTGTTGCAATCGTTATACCGATACAATATAGCGGTACGAAAAATTTCCCTTCTTTTTTGTTCGTTTAATTGTTTGATAACCTCTGACGAGAGGTAATGCGTTAACTTTGCAACTGACATTGTCCCGGAAAATCAGCGGCCGCGATTTAGCATTGAAATTATTCTCGCGTTGGCGCGGCACGAGGAAAATTTCGCAATGTGACGCGTTACGCAAATCATTTTCAAGAGTATTGTAACGCGTGAAGTAGTCAGGCATGACTCGAAACTTGGAAAATCACGATAGAAATAATATACGATTTGAACACGATACTACGAAACACGTTTACAATATATTCCGTGTATTAAACGATCATAAAAGTAATGGCCGTCACGTTTATGTTAATGTTATCATTATATTTCGAGCTGTAATTGTTTGTCAGTCGTTCGTTTCTTTTTTGTTATTAATGCGATTTCATTTGCATTTAAAAGGATACATTAGTGTTCACTGTTGTTAGCAGAAATAAACTTATGAGCTTGCCAAGTATGAAAAACGATATGGTAAATACAAAAATTCGTACGGCAATTAACTTTGATATCTTTAAAGGAAATTAACGAAAAGATGATAAAACTTCCCTAAAACATTGCAAATTCGTGATAAGAAAACGGCGATTGTTTTAATTTCTCAAGGTTTACACGATTAAATTGTTTTCGTACGTTTTCTCGCGAACGCGCGTTTTTTATTTATTTCACTTTGGGTTATTAAACGTTTGCCACTTTTGTCGATTTTAGCACTCGCTTGTTATCTCTGCCCATTATTTTCTTTACAATTTGGTTTTAATCGCTGCCGTTTACGCACGAAATCACGCTGTACAACGCAAATTTGTGCGAATTTCAAATATTACTTTACTTCTACGAGTTGATGCTTATAAAAAATTGAATACCGAACGGACTGCAACGCCAAGATAACAGCGATAAAAGATATCCGACGATATGTAACATTTAATGGAACAGCGACATGCTGATCGTTTGTGCGGGAAAATAATGAACGTAGCTCGCTTGAAAGAGGCTATAGATCTTTGTTCCGTTTAATAAAAGCAAGGAAATTAATTTGATGAATCGAGCGACACTGATAATCGCTGCAAATGAAATTAGTCCGCAATTGACATAGATAAGGACTTTATTTATCAATTCATATTGCATGACAAAACAAGGTTAAAGTGCAAGCACGATATCTTCGTTTTGTCTTTTACTTTTATCGACAGTCTGTTGCCGATTGTTCTTCGATAGTCTTTTGCCATCGAAAATAACGTAACACTCCCGTTTCCCGCTTCAATAAGAAACACCTTGCAATAAGATGATCACGTGCTCGGATCATTTTCCTTGCGCCGCGAGTCAGCGATAAATCGACGGTGAATACTTGAAACGATATTTCGAATTATCGAGGGATTTTTATTTCATTTCCCAGGCGATTAGTAGATCGTGCCAAGGATAGAATAATTGTCGTTTTATATACGATGTTTATCGCGCAAGGATCATTCGATAAATATGACTCAGTGTCATTTATTACGTTATCGTGTTACACATGTTCGAGCACAGTCGCAACTTTCCCTCGATTTTCGCGGGCGTATGAAAAAGATAACGGAACACTGGCCGCGCTTTTCTTTCTTCGGCACCGTAAAGAATATTAAGGAGAGTAATGGCACGGAACGGTGGTAGAAAATCTCCGATAGCAAAATAGTTCGTCGTAACTTTTGAGGCGTACTTGTAACTGTTTCGATTCATCCTGGAAATCCTTATCGTTCTCCCGGGTCCGAATGAACAGTGATCGAGCAATTCGACTGATCAAACAGAGATGGTCTTCATGGTCGTGACTAGTACTCAACGGGGAAATCGAACGGTAGGCGCGAATACTCGCGAGGAAGACCGTTTGTTACAGCGAGCGGATTAATCGGACTCGCGGCGCGCTCTCGATACGCGCACTTGTCACTCGATACGCGCACGCACGTTTACGCGCGTCTAAGCAGCGCGATGATCGCCGATCGACTGTTTACCGGCTGGCTGACACTGGTCTTTGCCTTTCGAAGGTCTTCCATCGTACAATCCGTCAGCAGTCGAGCGTGTCAAGCCGTCCAGTCATCGCTGCCCTGTCCTATCGTCCTCGAGCTTCTGCCTCTAAATACACGCTACTCGACGGTGATAACGAAACTCCACCCAGATAATATTAGGATGCTCCGTGCAATTTACCCAGATTCGTCGAGATAACGCTTCAAACGAGACCACTTTCTTTCGGACTTTCTGCTTCGTTTCTCTTCGGCTGCTCGTTCGTCGCGTCAGGTTGTCAAGAATGTTTCGTCGTCGAGAAAACTTACGGCTCTTCTTCTTCTCATTTTTCCAATTCACGGATACTTGAAACGGTTCCAAAGGAAGTCGCGAAATTTCTAGTTGTTCGAGAATCGCGAACGATCTCTCCGATTTTGTTGCTTATAAATCTTTGAAACGGAATAGCGAAGTTACAGGAAAGATTCAACGGACGTTTCTCGAGTTTGCGGATCGTCGAAACGGTGTATCATACTTTTTTGAAAATCGGAGATTTATCGTAGAAGATAGTTTTGTATTGATGCAGAGATGTTTGCTTGTTTGCGCATTTCTTAGATCTTACATATTTATTTAGATGATGTACATGTTGGAATAACGTACCGTGTCAATACTGGTTTAAGGCGGATAGCGAAAATGACGTGTCTCGTGCGTCATTTAAACATGAAATCTATATAGCCATTTATTTTATTTCATTTCCTGCTCTTGACATTTTGCATAAGTATTAAACACGTGATCTCGTTCAGCTTTATCTGTAAAGATAATTACTTTCTGGCATCGATTTTCCAACAATGCTCAGTTTACTCGAGAGTCTAAATAGTTCGATAGTTCAGCTTCCGATTTATATCAAAAGCTACTATCGGAACGTGACCGATGATATTTTTAGATTTTCCAATAACGTATCTTTTACGAGCCTATGAACTCAGAATGTTAATTTTTTATCAATCCGGTCCAAAGCTCGTACACTGCATTGTATTTACTCGATTCGATAGACAAAGAAATATGATTGCATATTATCATCGTAGCTATAGGCGTCTACTGTCTATCGATACGAAATAGCGTACTTTGCGATGGAATTCCGGTGGTTTGAGTCTATTGTCGTGACGTTCGCGAAGATCTGCAGATCAGCCGATTCGATCGTGAAGAAAATCGAGCCCGGTAAGCATCGCCACGCGTGTTAAGCAAATAGACGCAATCAATTCTCGCGTAATCCGTAAACGTTTGCCCAGAGAAATTGATGCTTCGCTACTTGTTTGTTCGCTCTTTACAGCCGTTCGCTAACTCTTCTTCAAACAGTTGATTTTTGAGGGCCAGCATTTTTCGTTCTCGGCGAATACCTTTCGCGCGTTGCACGATCGCCAAACGAATACGAGTCAACCGCATTTGTCGTAAGCATTTCGTATAGTTGCAAAAACTTCTCTTGATACTTGCACGAAAGGCCTCGATCAAGAAATAACGCGTTACCGACGGAAACCACTCGAAACCAGAGACAACCGGTGGACAGCGATCGAACACGCGCGCGAATTCAGGTGTTCATAGGCATCGCCTCACGATATCATCTGAGAAAATCTAAGAAAAGCGGAGAACCGCGATTACCTTTTCACTCGTTGCCAAATGAATTTTATCATTGATAATTTGTTAAAATAATCGACGCAGTATCGCAAATATCAAATATTTCGAAGGAGCCACATGCATTTGGCATTACGGTAAAGAGATTTGCTCTCGAATTTAATAGGAAAAATCTGTGACACGAAGTTGAAAAGGTTACTCACCTTCTGATTCACGGGAAGGCTCGAACCTCTTTCGATTGCAAAGTTTCTTTCCCGATAAACGATCGCGTTCTATCAGGCAGCCTGCATCATCGCGCGAAAGTTCGCACGCGATCAAAACAACCGCGAGATCTCGCTACCGGGAACACCGATATTCTTCACCGTTTACCACCTCATTTCACGTTCTCCACGGACACCGAATTCTATGCTACAAGCAACAACGAAACAAACCGAAACGATATAGCGAATCGAACAAGACAAATGAAGTTTACGAACGCGTTCGGATGAATTCAGCGTTCACCGCTGAGCGAGTAAGAAGAATTTGAAGGATTTCCGTAAGGTCTCGTCGCAAATTTACCTATGCCCCTCCCTTATCTCTCCGATATTTCCATATTGTCGCTTCTAATTGAAATGCGAAACGATCGACAATCTCGCCCTCCGCGAAAACAAAGCTAATACCATTCGTTATCTCGACCAAGAGATCGAGCAAATTCTTTTATCACCGTTACTCGAATTCGCGTCGTATCGTTATCTCGATAATGGCAAGATCTCTCGCGAGAAAATGTCTCGTTTTAATTAATTTCCGATCAGATAAGAGAAACGGCGAAGCCCAGGCAAATTCTTCTTATCTTCTTAATCCTGTTCGTGAACAATCGGGCAAACAATTAATCGCAGAAAGGTTAAAAAATTTCCTTCGAGCTCTATCGAGGAACGAAACGAGGTATGTTTGGTATCGCGAAAGCGGTCCTGACAGGTGTCAGACGATGCAAAGCAAAAGCAAGGGTCAAACACCGAGAAAGTTGAACGCGCGAGACCTCGAACTTTCCCTCGGGATCGTGGCGGAGTGTCATCGTTTCTCGCGTCCTGACGGAGAGGGTTGATCGTTTGATCGTCGAACGAACGCTCGTAATATTGGAGGGAAATGTCTCGAGTTCGCGGTACGTTGTCGTTCGAAGACTCGACGTTGAACTGCAAACAGTAGAGAAATCTCGAGCGTGCGGCGCGTATCCGCGGCGCGAGCATACTGCTACTCGCGGATGGTGGCGGAGGCAGCTTCACCCTCTTTGGTATTGATCCACGTGGCCGCCTCCTCGACTCTCGCAACCAGACCAACTATGCCGCCCGTCCGCCACGCCGACCGATGGCTACCGATCCATCTACCATCTTTTCCCTTTTTCTCGATACGCTGCGATCCTCTTCTTTCACCCTCCGATCAATTTCGTGCTTTCGGCCCACTTGCCAGTTATTTTATTTATTTTCTCTCTATTGCCAATTCGATGCTCGTGCAAAGAAAAATTTGCTTAAGAGATTACTTTCTTCGACGTTCGACAACTTCTCTTCGTCAAACACCGTCACGGTTCCCGGCATTTTATAGACGTGCTTATTTCAAAAATATTCGCAATTCGAAGAAGTGGTCTAAACGCGGACTACGGTCGAGAGGAAACTATGATTCGGGAAAGAAACGATGTCGAGTTATCTCGTAGAACGTGTAACTTTACTTGTATCTACATCTTCAAAGATGTTACCGACGCGTTTACTTTATCCTCTTAACAATCATCTGTTTAATCAAGAGCTAATTTAGTAAGACCATTATATTGCTGGAATTAAAAGATCACTTCGTTGCAATTGTTTTTAAGTTGTCTTAAGAATCCATATTTACACCACTTTCTCTACTTTTACGATAATTCCAAACTAGACGTCCCTTAGAGCGTACACATTACTCTAAAATCGGTCCTTTTAGCATAATAGCTTTCGAAACATAAAAAGTCTATTTACTTGGTAAATTACGATTGGGATGTTCAAGAGAGGGACAAAAATGGGATTAACATTTTTTTTTATTTATGCGAATTGCACGAGTGCGTAGCGAAATTGAGCAAAAAAAGATTTGACGGGAGAAGTTTTGTGATATTCGCATGGTATCAGGGACGGGGTTGTAAAATTACGATCATTTTCTCGACGAAGGGTCGGAAGCTGAAGCCGGAGGGATCGTTCGCTTGGATGTAGGCCATTGCCCTACCCTGCCGCGTAGAAAATGCTTCCAACGCGGAATTCACCGCACGTTTTATTGCCAAAACGACGAATAAAAGAATAGTACAGCAGCTGCCACTAAAAGCAGAGCTTCGATAAACATTACAAATATGTACAAGTTCTTTCGATTAGAAAATTCGCTACTGTACTGATTAAGTCGAAAAATCGCACGTGTTTGACAGTAGAAAATTTCTTAATTATTTCATTTGTAATAATTGAGCGAGCGAGCCGAAGGCGAGCAAAAAAAGGCGAAAAAAGGCGAGCGAGTCTGGGCTAAAAAACACTCCTGGAAATTAACGGTCAATTTTGAACTTTGACCCCATGCGCAGTAGCAAACCGTTACAAATAGTGCAATTTATGGACTAAAAAATTGGCTTCCATCTAGCGGCGAAACGTGCGAACTAAACTAAAAAATAAGGGTCCGAACAGGCAAATAAGAAAAATAAAAAAATGAATATTTCGGCATTTTGACGACACGGTATTGTCCCTGAGGCATTTAGAAACAAATTTCTATTAGGGTTTGATGCGTTTTGATTTATTAGGGTTTGATGCGTTTTGATGCCTAACAAAGCCAGAAAATCAATTTTTGTCGTATTCGGTCCAAAACGGTACAGGTGGCGCCATCTAGCGGCGAGCGGCGGAACTACGAAAAACTAAAATTTCGATTTTCTCCGAAATTAGGCAATTTTACGTATTTCTGAGGGTCAGTAATTGTTCTGTGACCTCTCTGGAACCTATATACTGCCACAAGAACCTTCTCAGAGCGCTAGGAAAGAAAATAAAAAAATAGGTCAAAACATGGACTAAAAAATTGGCGTCCATCTAGCGGTGAAAGTTGGAACTACAAAAATATAAAAATTCGATTTTCTCTAAAATTAGCGAACTTTGAGTATATCCGAAGCTCGGAAAGTGTTATGTGATCGCATTAGAAGCAAAATAAAGCAATAAAAGTTTCCTGAAAGCTTTAATAAAGAAAATAAAAAGAATGTCATTTTATGGAGAAAATTTGTGGCGCCATCTAGCGGCGAAACTGCGAACTAAACTGAAAAAACGTATGCCCGTACACGCATTAAGGAAAAATATAAAAAGTAATATTTTGCAACTTTGACGACGCAGTATGCTTTTTTAGACATTTTAAAGCACTTTTTGTTGAATAAGTTATTCATTGTTTTGCCTATTAAGCCCAGAAATTCAATTTCTATTTGACCCGTTTACTGCGTGTTCGGGCATACGGTTTTTCAGTTTAGTTCGCATTTTCGCCGCTAGATGGCGCCACAAATTTTCTCCATAAAATGACATTTTTTTTATTTTCTTTATTAAAGCTTTCAGGAAACTTTTATTGCTTTATTTGGGTTCTATCGCGATCACATAACACTTTCCGAGCCTCAGAAGTACTCAAAGTTCGTTAATTTTCGAGAAAATCGCATTTTTATATTTTTGTAGTTCCAACTTTCACCGCTAGATGGACGCCAATTTTTTAGTCCATGTTTTGACCTATTTTTTTATTTTCTGTTTTGACCTATTTTTTAATTTTCTTTTCTAGCACTCTGAGGAGGTTCTTGTGGCAATACATAGGTTCTAGAGTGGCCACAGAACAATTTCTGACCCTCAGAAATACGTAAAATTGCCTAATTTCGGAGAAAATCGAAATTTTAGTTTTTCATAGTTTCGCCGCTCGCCGCTAGATGGCGCCACCTGTACCGTTTTCGAACGAATTCAACAAAAATTGATTTTCTGGCTTTGTTAGGCATCAAAACGCATCAAACCCTAATAGAAATTTGTTTCTAAATGCCTCAGGGACCATACTACGTCGTCAAAGTGCCGAAATTTTGCACTTTGCATGCGCAGTAGAGTTGACATAGGCGGCTTATGTACGTATCGCAATGCTGCCACAAGATAATTAATTACTCATTACCCGAACATTATTTATGAACTTTTATGATCGAACCATGTAAACAATGCATTGGTGAAGTGCAAAGTTTTATGTCACTCCCTATATCACCGACAAGATAAAATATAGTGTGCGAATTGTTCTGAATAAGACCTTCGGATCCACTGTATCGTGCTCTTCATTATCTACAACGGGTACAAAGGTAGTACTACCGCAACAACTGCCCACAAATATAACACTTCTGTCATTTGTACTACTTTATAAAATTCCGCATAGATGTCTAATTTGGTATGTTTCGAAGTTCGAACGACACTAGATTTCGATTTATTCATAACTTCAACAAAAAAGTAATCGCCATTATACAAGTGCGGAACAACTCTTTACAGTATCTAGAAGTATATTTCTCTGATCGCGTTGAAATTTTAAACAAGATCTCGAGTGCGTCGCGAAGAGTAAGAAAAGCAAGTCTCAGAGGGTAGGACCAGTGAAAACGGGGTGGTAGGGTAGAAAGAATAACACGGAAGCGAATCTGGGGGTGAGCAGAACGTGACAAAAGGATCAGATAAGGAATCTTGCCTTCTTCTTTTGACGTTTCCTTTGTTCAGGAATTAAGATAAAGAAGCGAGAATGAGGTGTAAGGACCGCGGAAGCCTGTCTGTTTGAGCTCGAGCAGGAACAAACCAGGCGCGCCTCCTTTTCTTTCGTCCAAGTCAAATATTATCGGATATGTACGCTTACCTGTATGTATGCTTTACTTTCAGGGCACCTGCGTGGAACAGAACGAAACATCGCTCGTTACAAGTGTAACTTTTTCTCAAATGTATCGATCGTTTCGATGATTGTATCAAAGTACAAGTTTTAACTCTTAACGCGGGAGTCGCTATCGAAAGCTGAGGAAATAGTAATAAATGTATAACAAACAATTTTATTTCAGGACTATTCAAATTGAATGAATACTCTCTTATTGTGCGAGGACTTCTTTATATACGTACGAACAATCAACAGCGGTAATGAAGCGTGTAATGAGGGACTTAAGAATCGGTCGAACACCGCAAGGCGCCAATGGCGATAAAAAGCAGGGTTAAATTCGCGTAATCTTGGAGATAATCGGAAGAAAACAAAAGGCTTTGGTAAATATTTTCGGACGGGAGGATCAGTCGTCCGGTTGTTTCGGTGGAAAACTGATTTCACTCGGTCAAAGGTTTTTATATTTACCGTGCACTCACGAGGCTTCAGACCCGAGTACCGTGGAACGAGCGGTTTTACTCGCTCGTATATTTACCGGAAGGTGGAGGAGGTCCTCTTTAAATTCCACCAGCAATCGGCGCCTCGGTACACCGAAAATAACTTTAACGATCTTTCGGCTTAGCCACGAGAATCCATAAACTTGGTAATGACTGGGATCGCGATGCAAGGTTGGACTACGACCGAAGCGTTCAAATTGATAGAACGACGAGGAAAATTGTAGCTTGTTCGCGAGCAAAAGCGTTTTATCAGAGACGGATAAGAGAGACGATGAACGTAACGCGGTAGAAAACAATTTTCCCTCAAAACGGGAGAATAAAGATCCTGACGGATAAACGTTTAACGTTTAGAGAGACGCAGAGAGAGAGAGAGAGACGAATCGGGTATAAAAGAGAAATGGATACGGAGAAGAAAAGAGAGGAGAGCAATGGAGCAACTGGAAAGCCCGGATTTCGTTCCCAGGAGGAGCGCTCGACCGCGCTACGCAGGATTAAGCAATCACACAGGCCGATGGTTCTTCGATAGCGATGCTAATGTCGGGTCGAAAGGGCCAAGCACGCGTTTATGGCCCTTCCGTTTGCTTAGGCAAATCGAAGACATTCGCGGCAGAAGGGCGGCTCTGTGTGTATCTTCTTTCACGGAGGGCCGAAGCTGCAATAAAAACTATGACGGTCGCGGCATCTAATCTTTTTAACGGTGAAAGCTGTTCCTCTCGAATATGTAACGTGTGTACATTAATCGAGGAACCTTTTATTCCGCATCCGTATATCTTTTAACCCTCTTTGCAGTCGAAATTAA